TGTATATTTCAAACGATTACGAAGATATTCGCGTTCTATGTTTCCATAGGTATGCTGAATGAGTGAGAGAAAGATGTTTCGATATTGCATTGAAAATATTATGGAAATTTATTTGAACGCGAATTACTTCCTAATCCAAAGGAAAAACAGTAAAACATAGTCGGTCCACCACAAAAGTTATATTAACAAATCATGTCTGTGACTAGTTTCGGCTCAACGGCCATCTTCAGACACATAAAAATATTTAAGGAGACATATGGACATAATTTTATCTAAAAGCTATATCAAAAGCCGGAAATTCATGCAGGTAATTAACAAACATGATGTTAATATAATTTTTGTGGTCGATCGACTTTGTAATTTACTGTTTTTTCTTTGAAAAAATATTGGACCACTTTGAGAAGGATGGATGGTTTCCGTGACTTCTTCTTAATCGTTTGAAATAACCCTATCAAACCCGGTATCGTTGAATTCGTTAGGATAATCCCGATCCGGTTATGGAATAAAATACAGGGTGTTTTCTTTTGCACTTCTCTGTATGTATATATGCACAGGGTGGTGTTTTATATTTTGCTCAATTATCTCATTTGGTATTGGTCCCACTGAAAAGTTCAAATGAGCAAATGTGAATTATTCTTTATGGGCATTCAGAATCTAGTACTAGGAAATGCCAAAAAGCATCAACCTAAAAAATTTACATGAAGTTGTATTTTTTAAACGGAGCACCCTGTATTTTATTTTTCTAAACGGTACAGCTCTTCTGATTTCAAATATATATTCTTTATTGAGGTTATCTTTGTCAGTTTTCGAAAAGTATTAGATTATGAGGCAGCTATACAGGCTGATTCGCGGTGAATGGTACATTAGACGTTTCTGGAGAAAGCAACGTAGAATTATTTTGGAAATTGGTTCCTTGGATAATTAGTTGTGCTCTATCGACCTGAAATATTCTCAGCGCTGCGTCGTTGCCGCTTATATTGAAAAGTAGCATCAACCTTGATTTTTTCAACCCTGTATATCATTCCGTTTTCAGATTCTCCCTGAGGAGCTGATTTCATCGATCTATCACACTTGGAGTCTAGCGGGCATGATAACAAAGATATAGGGTGTGAACAATCGGGATTTTTCAACTTTTTTGTGTCGAAACTATTCATAATTGTTCAAAACGGTTTTCATGTCCCTGTAATAACTTTTCACGTACTTGATATTCAATTGAAATAGATACAGGGTGGTCAAAAATCCTAATTCTGAACCACCCTCTATTAATTTCGATAAAATATCAATTGATAGTGAATAAAATGTTGGGATAGGGAGATGGAAACCGTTTTGACCAATTATGAATAGCTTCGACACAAAAAATTCCCTAGGTTGAAAAATCTCGAGTTTTCACGTCCTATAACTCTGTAATTATTACTGCTAGACCGCAAGTGTTATAGGTCAATGAAATCAGCTCCCCAGGAAGAATATGGAAATTGAATAATATACAGGGTGTACCAATGAAAAAATCAAAGTTGTTGCTACTTTTCAATATAAGCGGCAACGTCCCGGTGCTGAGAATATTTTAGGTCGATAGAACACAACCAATTATCTAAGGTACCAACTTTTCAGAATAATCCTGAATTGCGTTCTCCACATCTAATATGCTATCCACCGTGAATCAGCCTGTATGAAGCCAGAAATCGCAAGCATTATCTGTCGTCGAACGTTCAACACTTGCCCTAGATATATTCCGAAAAATCTTTATTTTTCAATAACAGATACCCTCAATAAAGTTAAAGTATATATATTTGAAATCAGAGGTAAGATCTAAACCGTTTGAAAAAATAAAAATATTGTGAATGTCGACAAATCAACTCGTTTTATTTTTGCATTTTCCTGTTCTAAATTCTGAATGCCCATAAAATATACTTCACCTCCATTTGAACGATTCTTGAATACCAACATCAACTGAAAAGTACTGAATAAATTCATTTTTAGCCAAAATTTTCATTTCAGAGGGATCTCCTGAAACAAGTCGATTTTTATTTTCAATTTGCCACATTTATAAGAAGATATCGAATATACAGGGTGATCCACTTTAGAGTAATGACGTCCTCGACAATTAATTTAAATAGGACACCCTATATTTTTTTTATCGCTTGGAGTGCACGAAAAGGAATCCCTATAATGTTTAAAGAACATCGTGCGTTCCTAGGGAGGATAGGGATAGGAGGTAGGTATTGGAATTTTTTTTGAACTTATTATTAATTTTTTTTTAATCTCAATGGAAAGCCGAATCCGAGGCTGAATTAAAAGTGTGTTACACATAGTGTTTGCATACAGTGTGTCCGTCAAACTGAGAGCTCCCGTAAAGTAGTTGATGAACTAATTTTTATCCACGACTGTTGTATGAAATATTCATAATAAATGTACTACCTCAAGCAAAACGATAGCCTTTTTTTACACCAGTGAATAATGGTTATTCAGCGCTATAATTCACTGGTGCGTAAAATGGCTATCGTTGGGTCAGATTTTCTGTTCATACAATAATCAAACAACAACAACAAGAAAATATGTGCCTTTCGGAAGATCAGTGCGTAGTAAACAATGCAAACACAAATATCCTTGAATTTTGGTGCACGCGATTGTTATTGCAGCCATAAATATGAAAAAGAGTTATGAGACATATTTTTGCCAGACCTCGGTTACCTACTAGTATTTGAAATAAGGTAGGTATCAACTGTTGAAAACATCACACATTGGGTATTCCTTGCCCAAACACAGCAATTCACATGTAAACAACTGCCAATGAAGTCCGTTAGTGACGTCACTTCCACTTAACGACGAGCTAACTTTCCTTCTGTAGTTGTATATTCATTCTCATAGACTTTGATCTGTATTGGGTATAGGTAAGGTATATCGGTTCTCATTTTCTTCATCCGCCACAAAAGGGTGACAAGTTTTCAGGGCGGCAGTGTATTCTCATCTCATCGATTCTACTCTCTACTCATACTACTTTTCGTTCGCCCCCGTACAAATTTCCATATCATTTTATCCGCCGAGTTCAATAATCCGCCATACACGACCGGGGCTCCCTCTTAATGATGCGAAGTTTAATTAGAAAGGGGCCTTAGAGGGGGGCGCGGGGGGAACGACGAGAGGGGAGGCAATCGGCCCGGCTCGCATCGCCGGGCATAACTTTTTCGGTTCCTCTCTTATTGACCGCGGAAGGTTGAAGCGCTGGCTGCAGACAGCGCGGTCGTCTATAATCCCGGTAGAATGCGCGCGCATCGCTAGAGCGGTTGGCAAAGAACCAAATAATATATCTTCGATTCCGCTCAGTGCCGTGCTTGCTGGGGATACATGTGAGAAAATTACAGATGTCTCATTTCCACACATGAAGGCATGAAATTATTATGAATTTATATTTCAAGGTTTTGCGTAAATGATAAGAAATTATTGCACTACCATCATGTGCCTATTTATTGAATTGAATTGATACGTATTATGAATAACCGTTAATACCGCTACTAAAGAATATTATTTTATTTTCGACCTTTCGGTATATTATATTTCCCTGAAAGTTCTGTACAAAATCTTAGCAGATAGTCCTGAAGGAAATGTTCCGAAGAAACCTACAAAAGTTCGAAAAAAGTCCAATACCACCCAGACGATGAAAAATAAAAAATCGAAATCATCAGGAGAACGCGCATTTTTTTTCTTTGTAATTTAGTTATTCAATGATGTTTTTAGTGGAATTCGCTGTAGTGAACCGTAAATAATACGACCACCTGTGTACAATTCCATATAAAATAATTTCATACGATAATCTGGAAGGAGAAGGTATAGAAATAAGTCATCGAGGAAGGTTAACTTGATTCCGCTTGATTCGTATTTTAGTTATTTCATCTGCTTTCTCACCATTTTTTTCTTCAGGTGTTTTGTTTTTTATTAAAGATAGGTAGGTACTTACCCAAACAACAAGGTAGTTCAACATTTTTCATGGATTCTATACCTGCTATAAATAAACACAAAAAAGCAAACGGATAATTTTACTGAAATTTATAAAATTACAAATGCTCTGTTCATACATAGCATACCTAACTAATATTTAATTAATTTGAATTAATTTCAACTTCAGAGTTCAAACATTCCATTCACTCAGATGCGTTCATAGAATCAATTCAGTCCCTTTCTTATGGGGAATCTGTTGAAATTAAATGTATGTCAATCAAGTATAGATTATTAGGTATATCAATTTCAATGAAAAGACCGCGGAATTTCTTAAACTATAACCAACATTACATATAAGTGTGGATCAGCAGCATTAATTAACAATTATCAAATAACAATTTACAATTATCAATTATTATGAGTTGAATTTGTTATTTTTAATCACTGTGTTTATGCAGACAATTAATAATTATTATCATTCATCAACAAGTAGAAGGATGGTAAACTTATAACTTTTTACATTAATTGAACCAGGTTTTCTTATTGTACGCAACTAGTAGGCAGATCACCGAGGATTGGTCCATCCTATGATGGAAACTAACCTCAAAACATTCTGCGGTTTTGTGTTTCTTCTAACTATTCCTTATTCTTATTTTTTTTTTCAGTTTTGGCCCCACTTGTGATTGCAATATCTCAAAAATGTGCCTAAAATATTATGAAAACATTTTCTATGGTTATCTTGAATGACTTGGAAACGAATTTTGCGCCTGCGTATTTTTTATTTTCAAAGCTACTCCTTACTTGATAATAATTGATGCTGCATAAATCCACAATTACATGTCATTGTGTTCAGCAGTGTATAATATTCAATTCTGTACCGCTGCGCATGCCCCTGCTTTTTAAAAATCGGGAATCCTTGAACCGCGCTGCGACTAGACCCTGCTAGGATCCTCCCCCTCCCTAGAGGGGCCGAACAGCTCGCGCAGCTTCCAGCCGGCTCCGCTGCGTGTGAGGGCGCCACTCGTTATACTACTTTATTGGCGTCCCTCCGACTGAACGGCGTTGCCAGATCTCCGACGACAGCCGCGTGAGAAACAAAACACGGTTTGTGTGTGTCCTCAACCGTCTTTTCCGCATTTTTTCGATAGTTCGTGTACCGTGTGCGAAAGCCGGCGTCGAGTGGTGTGTTGAAAATGGTGGCGAGTGTGTGTTGACGGAGCCAGTTCGATCGATATGTCGGAAAATAGGTCTTGGGGCGGACAGAACGAGGGGGTTTGGTGGCCGAACGATATGCAGCACCATCAGGGCTTCATGCAACAGCAGCTGGAGGCGGCCGTCAATAGTACGGCGTCCCCCACGGAACAACTGTTCAGTTACAAAATGGCCAGCAGTTTCCAGAATCCGGCTACGACAGTGACGAATTCGACTACGACGTCTCCCGTAGGTGCTCAGGGCATCCGCGGCTACGACTATAGCATGACAGGTGGTAATCCTCAGATGTCTGCACCTGCGCCGGGTGCCCAGTGGTGGTACCCGGAGAATATGCACAGTGCGATTCAAAGTATGCAGAATAGTTTGCATGGAATGCAGCAGCAGCAACAGCAACAATTGCCACCTGTACATTCCCCTCCTTCCCCGGTAAGATGCTGACTGAATGATTTGAATATCTTCTGCTAAGCCGTCTACCTGTGTTCGAAGTTTGAAATTTTGGGATGGACAGTCGAATTAACAATTCTTGAAAACGAAGAATTTTCAAATTGGATTGGATGGATTAGTATCTTGCTAGCTATCTACCTCTATCCCAAATTGTTATTGTTACCCAGAACCAGTCCTAGGTATAGGTACCCCAGTAGGTACTTAAATATGTCCCTTATTTCATAGTAGGTAAAATCGACATTGACTAATGAAAACATTTTGGAACTTCGTCAAGGTCGTTCAAGGAAGATGGGTTTGCTTCAGTATATTCACAAACTTTGATTATGTCAATGTTATACAGGGTTTCTGTATAACATCATAACATGCTCGGTAAAATATTTAAAGCTGAACATCCTTACTGTCATATTCCATGACAGGAAGTGGTAAATTGGAAAAATTCAAATATTACTATGATGTTAGGATCATTGAAAAAAAAACCTGTCCATTTAAATGTGTTTTCCCGTTTCCTAATGGTTGAATTAGGTACAGGAATGCTTAATTCATTTTGAAAAATGTATCTATTTTCTATTGTACAATGTATTATTTTGAATAAACTACCAATTCATATCAGTATTTGAAGGAAAGAAAAACGAAGTGATAATTCCCTTGAGTATTCCCTAGGATATCGGGAAGTAATAAAAATCGGCAACGCCGTCAAAGTCAAAATACGATGACTAGCGGAAGGCTGCATGGATATTTTGTTTTTATTATCTAATATTCCTAACGATTTTGTATTGTACTTATATCTTATCTTACTTGACATAAAATGATAAAATGTGAATCATGCAAACAGGAATGCATTATTTGTATTGATAGCCAAACACCTACCTAGGACTTGAACACTACCTCCTAATGCTTTATTTTGTGCTAATGCGAATACACAAGCCAATTAGGTACCTCATTCACTCTGTAGAGAGTAGACAATTAGCAAGTATCCATAAGAAACGCTAAATAAACTGGACAGACTGACTAGCATGGGTACCAACACATACAGAGTATGAGGGCAATGAAGAGACAGACCATAGATCTAAATACACACAGCTAACAAAACTTTGAATGGCACAGAACCCTTTTGTGGTATTGCCAAAGCTATACAAAAGACAAGTATCAAATCATGTATGTAAACCAAATCTCAAGAATGGCGGAACAACTCGCCAGGAATGAGACAGTCAAAGGAGTTTTTTTAAAAAACCATCGCCAACATTCACTGAATATCTACGGAGTCAGAAACGAAGTACAACTAGAATACTAGTGAGATTTCTCACAGGGCATTGCAGGCTCAATAAACACAGTCATGAGTATGATAGGTCTGGCTGAAGAACTGCTGTGCAGGTTCTGTCAGGAAGAGGAGGAAACAGCAGTACACACACTTTGCCACTGTGAGGGCTTGTCAGGGCTAAGGTTCCATGCACTGGGTGAGGAAAAACCAAGAGCCCAAAGTTACAGAAGGGGTATGATTGCTAGCCTATAGAGTCTCTACTGAAGGCAGGGCTACTGGCTAGCCAAAGAACTCTGAACGATTTTGAGGGCAGACACAATAGATCTGAAAAGGTCGCGTGGAGGCAGATAACCAGACGATCCCATTCAAAATCTAATCTAATTTATAAGGACCCACGTAATATAGAAAATCATTATATTTAGGCAAAATATCTAACATAAGTGTAATTTTTATGAATTATGTGGTGAGATCCCAACCAGTAATAAAAGCGCCATATATTGATCAACACCTTTATTCAAAATGGAATGAAAAAACTCAAACAAACAAAAGACTGTCAGAATGAGAGAGCAGTTGACTGAGAAGCAAAAGAATAAAGAAGCACATAAAGGTCGTGAGTACACGGCAAAGTGGGCTGAGCAGACATTTTTCATATCTAGCTATCTAAGGCTTGTTCCTTAACTGAACTTGTTAACAGGGCCGATCCTAGCGGGTGTGCAGCGCGTGCCCCGCACGCGGGCGGCCAAAACAAGGGGCGGCCGCAGGCCGCATATTGTCCTATCAAACAAAATTATTTGAAACTCATAAGTCGAATGAATATGCTGCATTTTGAATAAATAAAATGATAGTAAATAGTGTGTTGGTCCATTGTCAATAAATGTCTACTTTTTATACACATTCTTATCTTCCCAAATTTTAAATTTCTATTTGAAACAAGAACCAAGGGGCATATTTTTCAGACGCCTAAGGATGTTTTGTTCCATCACTGTGCGGTAGCTTAATTATGCATTTCTACTACTTACTAAGAGACTATGAGAGAAAATCCCAAAAAATCTGGAGAACATCCACTTGGTTAAACTACAGACACCATTTAAAATACTTTTCACTTGCTCTTCTTATTGTTCTTATTTTCAGATTCCAGATCATTTTATATCAATTACAATAAACTGTAATATACTAATGTGATGAATTTGAATCCCAACAAAAATTTCGCCTGCGGCGCATTTTTTGCCATAGGAAAATTTTGTCTGAGTTTCTTGGCCGCTCCCGGTATGCACTGAAATGGAGTTATTACCTGAAAGCATTTGACCTTGAACTCAGAAAAAATTCGCCTGCGGCGCATGAAGATTTTGTCTACATTTTTTTTCTGTGTTTTACTTCTTATCCTTGTACAAGTAGTTGAAGTTATGAAGTCATCAGGTATTATAGTTAAAAAATATGAAAAATTCTCTAGAGGGGCGGCACATTAGGTTTATGCACGCGGGCGGCCGACACCCTAGGATCGGCCCTGCTTGTTAAAGTTGATTTTTCCCCATAATTATCTCTGTTTATGGCATGATGTAAACAGAGGAAGTCATAGAAAAAAATCAAGTTCGGCAGGTAGACCAAGCACAAACGAACAGGCCTCTAGTTATAAATTCGAAACTCCGAGGCCTCGTTCGGAGATAGTTCCGTACGATTCACTGTTGCGTTGAAATTAGCAGTGCTGCTCATAATGTGGCGAATGGAGTGAAATAACAAAGCCCACATGGAACACACAATGGTCTGAAGAACCTCTCGTAAACCAATAAAGTGCATGATTATATGCTTTTGTCAGTGATTTTGTGAATTGATTGAAATTACTGGTTCTGAAATAGTCATGAATTATTTCAACCCGAATTTTTACTGGTATGAACTGAAAAATAGCGCCTACCGACGGGAAACTAACTTTTCTAATTCTTATTAAATAATAAGTGCATATACAGTGTAAGTGATTTCCACTCGCGATACCCTGCTAATTTGTAACCCGTTGACCGCTTTTCCCTCAGATTTTCCAAAACAAAAATTTCATAATATAGTACTCAACGAGCTCTTTCAAAAAATGTGAACAAATCTGAAATAATCGAATTCTCAAGGCCCACTATAGTTTGTTGAAAGGGTCAAAATTTTAAAAGACTATTAAGTAGACAATTTTTTTCGAAAAATTGGATAGCCTATTCAATTCAGGCATAGCTAGCTGTATTGCCCCCATGCAAAAGTTTGTCACAATATCTCATATGGGGGGTTACTTATTCAATTGCAAATTATGATATTTTTGTTTTTCTAATTCACCCTGTATCAAAATCTAAGGAGTTGATATAACCGGTGAAGTAGTAATTCAATCATTCAATGGAGGAGCACATTGAATACTTAGATAATATGATATTTCATCCTTGTAACTTCTACAGGTAAACCAGATATAATGAAATTGAAGTTGCACATTTTTTTATTATCATCCTTTTTTTCTGAAAATATTGATAATAACAAATAATTTATTTCGAGGAAATATTCTTCATACTATAACAATTTTCATAAACTAATCTCAAATTTTCATTCCATTCCGCCAAAATCGGTACCTATATAATTATGATCATACTGATCATACCATTCATACCTATCAAGCACCAGTAATACCTTGCAGTCACCGGAAAATGTTTTTCTGTCATTCTGTTGTGTTATATTTGACAGCTCTTTATCAGTCGACTTAATGGGCCTGTTTCAGTGAAAAATTGTATTTCATTATTTCGAAGTACTAACCCTAACTGACGTAATCATCCGATAAAACCATATTAGATTCGACTTACATATCAATTCTCTATTTCTCATAGACAAATACAATGGAATGAATTTTCTGGATTGAATACTTACTGCAGATAACAGAGAACACATCACACAACTAAATAATCACATAATTATGAGGATTATCTTTGAATATTCACATCTTGACTAGATGAAACAAGGCTTTGACGATGAAGGTGTCAGCCGATATTAAGTCAGGAAGTTAGGTTGACATTGTAGTTTGTCTTATTTTTTTTTTGTATTTCTGGGAACTTGGGTATTACACTGTTGCCCGTGCCACAAAATAATTTGGGATTTAATGAAATCTCGATCATTATTAGGAATACTAGGATATTTTTATTGGTACTAAAGCATCTTGCAAGTATAAATGTTCAATAAATGATGTCATGGGTCATATTGAATCTCATAAGGAAATTACTAGTTTCAAATCTGGCAGCGTCGAAATATGTGGGGTCATACTTTTTATGCGAGAGCCAGGTTCATGATGTCATCGAACCTAGCGTTTTTCGAAGTCCCAATTATTGAAAAAAATATTTGCGATGATTTTAAATAACGTATGATTGCATCAAATACTATTTATACATGGAATGATCAATATAAAATAGGTATGTGGCGTAAATTTTACTAATGTGTACAGCGCCATTCTCAAAGTATCTGTTAGGTGAAGTGAGTGAAAAACGGTTTCCTTGAGTTTTCAAAATGGTGAACCTCAACTTGAGTTTTATTGATTTTTGGTTGGCCTAGAGATATAACACCCTATATAAGGTATTGCCTCAAAATTTTGTATGGGGGTATTTTAGCTATGCTTGATTTGAATTCTCTATCCACTTTTTTCTCTTTCGGAAAAAATTGCCTAGTAGTCGTTTTTGAAATTTAGTCCCCTTCAACAAACAATACCAGCAGGCCTTGAGAATCTGGATATTACATTTCAAATTAGGAGGGTGTTGCAAGTTGAAATCACACACTTTATTCATTCAACAGTTTCAGTTTGTTTTGAATAATTGCATGTTTTGTAATGATAAGGATTTTTGGAGGAAATGAAAACTTAGTTTTTTGTTACGTTTCTTGTATTTTGTTTTGCTGAATTAATTCAAAAAAGTCCTAATTGATTCCTCTTGACTTAACTCTGAACAGATTTTTTTAAATAGAAGTTTCTCAAACATAAAAAATATCAGAATAGAACTCGTAGGTTCAGATGGTGATTTAACAATGTCAATTTGTCACTCAAACACATGACATTTTAGTGAATTTAATCATTTCAACATTGAAAATTATACTATTTCAGCGAGTCTTAAAATGGAATAAAACTTAGTATCTGCAAATGGGTATTGCCTTCACGTTCTATTTTTTCCTGGTACATAGGCATTCAATCGAACTCTTGATGAAATGTAGTTATCATGCACTTACCATGCAGCAAAATTTCTTCTCAATTAATTACCTGAAGTATCTACTAATGAAACCACAGAATGTAATAATAGTGCAAAAGAACTATTCCTCTTTTCAAATATTTAATTAATCAATTATTTATTTTACATGATATTTTACTCAAGATTTACCAATTACAGTTCTTACCACGGTTCTCTCTACCTCTTCCCAACTACAAATTCTTGCATGCGTAGGTATTCGTCTTTTTCTCGGTCTTTTTCATCTTCTTTCTCTCTCGGTGGAAATAGCTGTAGGGTCATTAGTCATTAGGCGGACAGGTGGTCTCTAAAATATGGGTGTGCCAGCGTTGAGAATATTTACTGGCAACGAAAACAAAAACGATCAAAAGAAGTTGCAGCCATGCAAGAAAAACCAAAATAATTTTCACATTCTTGCTCATGAAACTTCCCTAAAAACTTCCAAAGAAGTGTGCAATACAGGGTTGCATGTACAGGGTGTCCCAAATTTTCTAGAGGTCTAGAGCTAGATTTTTGGGAAACATCTTGTGGTGAAAACCCAAAAAACGCACTACGATATCTCTGACCGTTCTCGAGATATACAGTGCCTTTCAGAAAGTTTGCATCATATCTTGCCACCCCACCTGTATTCTCAAAGACGGTTACTCTTAGTGTAATTGGGGCTGGTCGGACAACTGTCACTCATTCTTAATTCCATCAAGCAGTTGAAGTTGAAATGAAATGAACATATACATTTCGTCTCACCAACGTTTTGTGGTAGACTTCGTCTTCCCAAAATGTCCCGACATGAGAACTATCAAATTATTTTCATATATATATAGGGTGTTCGAATTCCAAGATATCGGCTGATGATGAGCTTTTTTAATTGGTTCACACTTTTTTCAATTCTATTTTCAAATGCACTATCAAAATTGCTACACAACTGTTTTTGTTTTCTATGTTTGACTCCACGGTTGCCAGGTTATTAAACTTTTTTCGTGGAAAACTGATTTTGTTGAGGCCTATTGAAAAATGTATTGTCATTTTCATTAAGAAATTGTAATGAAATGAATTCATAGGAGTAGAGTCCAAGATTTGTTCCATTCTTTCCTACAAAATCAGTTCGAAATATTGAACACGTCAATTATAGACGGAAAAACTTGACAAAGCTAAAGATGCTAAAACTTCATTATTTCAAATGGAACACCATGTATTTTTTTACGTTTATGGTGTCCTATACCTAAATATTGCCGTTTTCGATTTTTGAGCAAATAGTTGTCAATTTTATGAAAAAAATTTGTCATTTATTATTTCTGTAGAACAATTGAACCACATTTAATTAAAGGACTCATTAATTTTAAGAGTGATTCTTTAGAGAGTTTATGAGATGGAATGCCAGATTATATTATTAGTATAATTATCATTGATAGTTATCATAATCATCATCATTATTATAGACAGCACATTTTTTATCTTACTTGGTGAATAAAATTATGTCTACTGGTTTGAGAATAATGAAAAAATTAGATTTTACCTGTTTATTTTGATTCAAAATCTATGCTTATTTTGTTTTATATTTACGTTTGTCAATGACCTAATGTTATAAATTATAGTAGAAAGTAGTTTCAGTCATAAACATTATACTAATTCCAAAAGCAGTGACCCCAATAGAATTTGAAAAAACTGCTGAAATTGAAGGTTCTCTCTGTACCTGACACGGCAAATGAGGCAGTTCAACATTGTTGATATTGTTTGCAGCAAAGTGAAGCTCAGAACCTACAAGAGGAAGCTCAGCAAAGGCAACAGCAGCAGCACCAAGAGGCTGTACAGCGACACCAAGAGGCTTTGCAGCAGCACCACCAGGAGGCCCAAAGGCAGCACCAAGAGGCCCTCCAGCAACACCACCAACAGCTGCAGCAGCAAACGCATCAGTTGCACCAGCAACAGCTGCAGCAGCTCCACAACAACCACCAGCAGCAGGTAGGTTCTTAGATTGAATTTTACTCAGCTCCTTCAACTTTTTTCATCCAAAATGGTATCCTCATTGATTTTTCATTAATTAATTTTACAGGCATTGAAGTTTTTTCAAAGAAGTTGAAGTGTGGTACCTTTGGTACATACCTATAAGGTATCTCCTCATTCCATGCTTGATTCTTTGAAATTGATTTTTATCTTGCATTAAATCTGTTCACTAATCTTTTAAACAAAGTGAAAATATTACTTGCATAGACATGATTCTGTCAGAACTCATACTACTGATTTTTACCTGTTATTTTCATCAAAATGTCACTATAGACAAGTTACACTTTTTCAAATTAATCTCTGAAATTGAGCTTAATAGTTTGAATTTCAATGCAGTTTATTGATGAAAATTGTTTCTATTCCAACTTTACACGTGTAGCTCAAATTTGAACGTTCTAGCAAATTTACATTTTTGATATTTTTCAATTTCTATGACATATCTGTAGTATTAAGAAAATTGTGACTTGATGACTGGCATCATTTTTGTAGTGAAAAATTCATTTAAGTAAATCTCCAACAAAATGCTTGACAATACATCAACTTTGCATAAAACATTAGTATGAAATTGAAATTTTGTAAGATTGCTTTTAACGCCTATGAATGTGACGTGACAGCAATGTCATGTCAGGTACGCCAATACACGAAACAAGTCACTAGATGATTGAAAGAGAAAGGAGCTATGATCTGTCCGTACCCTGTTAGATGACAAATAAGTACGTCAATTTACATCAAGGGACCCTAATGTCGATTAGGAACAGTGTTGGGCCTAAAATTCCGAGAGTGCCGGACACCAACATTGGCCATACTGATTCCGATCAGTGTTGCCGTTTCAGAATTTCAATTCCGAAATTGCACTAAATTCAAGTATATTGTACTAAATTGAGAAAATAACACTTCAAAATTTGATGAAAAACTTTATAAAAGGAACATATCAGATTACAGATTGAGATCAAATACTATCATGCTATCAATAAGATGAAAAAGATGACTCAAACTCCAAATTCAAATCAATTTATCAATAACAGCTCTTTGTTTCTCCGTTGAATTGGAAATTATGGGCTTTTTTTATCAATGAGGGCTTCATTAGGATTCCAATTATAACAAATCTTCTTCAAATCATTGTTTTGAATGCAATAATAGCTTGGGCTACCCCATGGAGCTATCTGGCTATTGTGTTTGTACTAGATTAGTGTTGATAGAGCACTGTCAGTGACGTCATATGACGTAACATTGTCGGCCGTTGAACAGCTGATGGGGGGACAAGCATAAACGTTTTCCATAAGGGTACATGTAACTTTCTTGCACATTTCCCACTATGTTGAGATATCTGGATATTTATTGACATGTTTGTTAATTCATTCATCATGAATACTGTGAGAGATGTGAATTAGTACAATGAAGAGTTCAAATTGGTTTATTTGCCAATTTAACATTACTGGATTTACTTTAAGTTCAGCTCTGTTATAACTAATATACCTGGAAATACACCTCAATAGATACACAGTTTGCAACAACGTATATACATTTTTCCCCTATAATATCTACAAGTACAACAGAATCAAATCAAATCGATGGGTCAAAACGAAAAAAATCGAAAAGCTTTGTTTGTCCCCCGATCAGCTGATGAAAACGACGAGTGCGACATGTTGTGACGTCAGGTGAGGTGACACTACTTAATGTGTATGAAGTGTACTAGAAAAGTACAATAGTACTAAAAACGGCAACTCTGATTCCGATCTCCTCTTGCAGATTCTGCAGCACCACCAGCAACAGCAGCAGCAGCATCAGCTGTCTTTGGCCCCGCCGCCGCCGCTAGCGCAGAAAGGAAGGATGCCGCGCGCGAAGGCCGATGCCAGGCCGCGAGGGCGCATGACCGCCTACGCGTTCTTCGTGCAGACGTGCCGCGAGGAGCACAAGAAGAAACATCCCGAAGAGAACGTCGTGTTCGCCGAGTTCTCGAAGAAGTGCGCCGAAAGGTGGAAGGTGAGTGGTTAACCCATTAGCAGTACCGGATTTAACACGCGAGGGATCGCGCCGATAGAAACTTGAACGTGGACCGCGTGGGGAAGTAATCTACCCCATTGGTTTTGATTGAATTTATGGAATTTGAGACGAAAAAAACCTTTGTCTGATGTGGAATTGTATTATTAATAACAATTCGCGGGAATCAATGTCATCAGGTGGCGTTTGGTTTTCAGGTTTTCATCGTTCCATGTCAAAGCCACGTCAAAATTGGGGGAAAACAAACTCAATCCTCACTCAATCCCATCAGTGCCATTAGCTTGTATACTGTGTACTGATAAGAGTGATAAGTTTAAAATTTCTTGACATTAATTGTCAATATTCGATCGAAAACGCTAATAATGCCTGTTGTAGATGTACTTTTGGCAGATATTTTGTTCTATTGAGACGGAAAAAGCCGACCAGTAGTGGAAGGAGAAGCAGTTCTCCATGCTAATCATGTGATTTTGTGTGAGGCAGAAGACTTCAACAAAAGGCACATCTTTGCACTTTATCTACAAACTTCGGCGATGAAATCTTCCCCACATGAAGTAAAATTGAAGTTGGTTTCGAGAGGAACTTCTGTAGAACAATTTGTTTATGCAAAGCAGTACAATCTGGGTATTGTGAACATGTTGTAGCTGTTCTTCATAATTAGTTTGAACTATCTCCAATTCTTCACCCGTTCACTGTTCCCTACCAACAGTGCCAACACTTTATGTCATTGACAAGTTTGACTACAACTACAGCAAGCTGAATGCAATGTAGTCTATGCACTTTATCCATAGACAACAGTTTGTTTTCCCCCAGTTTGAAGTTCGTATTATGTAACCTAGATGTCGCCCACTTCGTGAATCTCGCGAATAATAAAACAAACAAACAGCAATAATAAAGAACGAACTCAATTTGATTGATATACTTGAATTGAATAATGAATTTCAATGAACGCATACATAATATACGCACGTCCCTTTTGTTGATTGTTTCTCTCTTTTTTTTTTCTCCTGGATAATATGAAAATTTGACTACCATTGCAGGTTGCTCGTTTTTAGGTTGAATTTCCATCTGTACAGACACGAATTCAGATATAGATTTCAATTCACTCCCGCGTGTGGTATGGATATACCCCAGGAACAATTCACCAACAGTTTACTATGTTGTGTGCAGAACTAATGACGAAACACTTGCAAAGACTTCTTAATTGATCATATTTAGCAACTGAGCTGGCGTAATTTTTCAGTGCCGTGCAGATTAAGCAAAAAAATCGTGATTTGATATCGCCTGGGGTATTTTCTACCCCGCGCGGTCCCTCGCGGGTTAAGCACAGGTAACATAGGCAGTTGCCTATGGGCCGACACCACAAAACAAAATTAAATCTATAAAGGTTCAGTAGAAACAAAATATACTGAGTTTTCTTACAAATAGTTGGACGAAAAACTTATTTTTATCTTTGAGCGGGAAAAGTTGACATCATTTAAAAATGTGCGAGATCAAGCAGCACGAAATATGAACACAAATGGCGCCTTCCGCGCATTCTACCGCGCCGGGCTAGACCAATAGCAATAACAACAATGGAAAATGGCGTCACACGGCGCGCGAATAATTTTGGCCATTAAAAGAGCAGGACTTTCCAAGTGAGACGCGTTTATGAAGACATGCGTCTAGCTGAACCAGCAAATCTTTCAGACTTCAAGGTTCACAAAAGATTATTGGAGTTTATAAGATTTATGTAATATGAGGAAGGAAAATATCTCTTCTGCATGAAAACGGAAAGTACTTTCAACAAGTTTCAACCTAACTTAAGCTAGATGAACCTTTTGCCTGAAAAGAATATTTTTGAAAAATCAATTGGGTAAAAAAAATTGAAAAAAAATTGACGCCTAGCAGGGATTGAACCCGTCACCACCGTGGAAGTCAGATACACAGACTCGTGGTAGTCGTAGTTTCTCAATATAAAGAAAGAAGAAATATCATGTGTTGTATGTAAGTGACGTTACTTGACCTCCATGTTTGAAAGATTCGCTGGTCTAACTAGACGCTTGTTTATGAAGCTATAGAGCGGCGTCTCGCTCTCTCGCTATTTGATCCAACATGACAAATATTTAGAACAAGTTCTAAATTCCAGCTGCTGTTTGACGTGACGTCACTGATCCACTGTAGTTTGGTGGAGTCCAGTTTGACGCAACCACGCGTTCATTTATTACTCTTATGTCAACCAAAATTGCAAATCATTCCACCGATTTACAGAGATGGTGGACGAGTTTTGGTGGCTTCCGAAAAAAATAAAAACTAAGTATTGGATTTGAAAGTTGCTTGTCATTTGCCTAAGAAATAATATGGATGAATCAATTATTATATTATATATTATATTATGATCTCGATTATGATAATATAATATAATATAATAGTGTATATTATACAAGTTTTGTAAGACACTGTGTTATCCCACGCATTGTTTGGACTTTGGGATTACGACCGTTACCATCGAGACAAACGACTTGCCTTGCCGGTAAAGAAAACACAAAAAAATATCTTTTTTTTTTTTCAATTTATCAACTTTTTGAATGAGAAATCGAGGGTTCTAGTTGGCTATCCAAATTTATTCGTTGACATAACATGCATGTAAAATTATCTGTAGTCAACAATATATAGGCTTTTTCGTCTAAACCGCACATTAGACGTATTTGTAGCTCTAAAAATGACTGATGAAAATTTGTATACAGGTGTTAGCGATTGAGTCCTTCAATGCAAAATATTTTCAAGATGGCGGCACTTTCGGTTGAACCGGAAGAGACATCAAGTTCGTTTTCTTGAAATGAAACACCCTGTTTATTATTGCATTTTAGATTCTCCCTGAAGAACTGATTACATCAATTTATCCCACTTGGGGATTACAGAGATGTAGAGTGTTCAAAATCAAGATTTTTCAATTTTAGTATTTTTTTTCTTGTGTCAAAACTTCATTGTTCAAAACAGCTTACATGCCTCTATCTTCTAGGTTGACTGCCCAGATATATTATTATGGTAACCGTTTCCCCAGTGCCCCTCCCCAAAATTTGAGTGCCAATTATTCACTATCAGTCCAGTAGCCCATTTTATCGATCCGAAAATTAAAAAATAATTACTCGATATTTCCTCAACATAAAACAGCTGGCAACATAGAAAAAGGGATCATTTCAGAACTAGATAGACGAATGTGCTGCCGGACGCTATGTTTGAAGTTCCATGAAATTGTAGGTTTAAATGGTGTTATTTGACATATCATTTTATGAAAAAATTGATGCAGTCATGTTGTGTTGTTACTATTTATTTCAGTTATGTGTATGTTTGAATTGAATTCGTGCTTTTGTGTTCTTGCCTAAGGCAAGAAATAATCAACCAATGGAATACCTAACTAATGCTTCTACCTACGTAACCGAAACAAGTCGTAAATTTAATTGAAAATAGTTATGTAACGGAGAAATCAAGTTAAGTTTTGAGATTATTCAACAATATTTCAATCTACGAGAATTGCCGAAAATTGTTGAAATGAAAAATAATTCCCGTCGGTTCAGTTAGGCTCAAAAGCAGACACGTAAAATCCTTGTTGATATCCATATTTTCGATTTGAATGCATATTTCAGAAATCATAAGGTAATGGTGAAACGACGCGGTGTCATTCCGAGGTTCATTCAATTCTCAATAGAGCAGTTCAGCTACCGTTGAGAGAGAAAAAAAATCTCTTCCCCATCTGTCCTTGTCTTCAGTGTTCCAACATAAAATATTGAAAATATTATGTTGGCATCATTGGAAATGGGAAAAAATGGAGAAGAATATCATATTATCCTCGATATAAAAGAAGGTTAGAACGGTCTTCTTCTCCATTTCTTCTCATTTCCAGTGTTGACAACATAAGAGTTTCATTATTTCATGTTGGAACACTGAAGACAAGAACAGATGGGAAGACATTTTTTTTTCTCTCTCAACGGTAGCTGAACTGCTCTATTGTTAGTTACATGTATATGTGCTTAAAATCTCCTGCCAATGCTTCGACGTGTTTGCCCAATACCCAATACCTGATTTATCAGCAGTATTGATTTCATCTTTGGGGTTGCCTGGAAGACTTTAAATGGTATTTTCTGCAGTAAAAGTTCCTATCAGCCCCTGCGATTTGAAAATACTATTTAAAATTCTTTGACTTGAGTATCAACACCGATGCCCGGAAATGTTCACAAAATCAATCTTCAACTATTTCAATAAATTCTGTATTATGTATGAATATATTACTTATTATTTATCACTTTTCTCAAAACCAGCTGTTGTTGTATGTACTCTACATATTACATGAAGACTGACAATGAGTCACTCGATTAACACCATTAATTTCCATATTTTTGTTGAATATACCTCACTAAATCGTTTGCAGATTACCGAAGTTTGTCTCCGGGCGTCTAGATTCGTAAAAAAATTCAAAATATCACAATTCAAAAATACGGTACAAACACAACAGACATGATCTTATTGACTCTATAAAATTTTAATGAAAATTTGGAGTCCTGGACAGTTTCGTCATAGGCTATTATTAAATAATCAAATACAATACAGGGTGCCCATTTTTCTAACTCCACCATGGATATCTGAGTTATTATAAGAGATACGAGGTTGGTATGATGAAAAAAAAAATGGGAAAAAACCATTTTTGCGAAGATTGCTTTGAAAAGAACGCCAACAGTTTTGTTTAACAAACTGAATTTTGACAGTTCAATTGAATAGGCGAACAGAACTGTTGAATTTTTAAGCTTATCCACATAACGCAAGAAGGGTTGCCGAGAGTCTGTCAGATCGTGTCAGATATGGTCCCTGACAAGGTAATTTCCAACAACGGAGACATACGTTGGTCAGCGCGGTCACCTGATCTCTCTCCGCTGGATTATTATTTATGGAACTATGAAATATTCGATTTTCAAAACTTTGATATTGATGAGCTGACAAGACCCATAATC